AAAAAAAAAAAAAAAAAAAAAAGCTTGGGTTTTGAAGTAAGGCAGCCAGAGAGTTTACATTCCAGCTCCAGTGGGATTTGGAGTAAATCGCTTAACCTCTCTCAGTTTCTTCTACACTGTACTCAGAATTTGTGTTCCCTGACCATGTTAATGGGGTTTCCAAGGGGATGAAGATGCAGCGCCTGGGTGAGGGTTTCGGTGGTGTCCACTGAGAGAGCTTGCTTGGGCTAATGGGTTCATTTCCTCTTCTCTGGTTTAGAAAGGGACGTCCATGAAAGGCTTGCAGATGACTGGGCCAATTTCCACGCACTCCCTGGAGTCAGCAGGCCCCCCGGTTGGGAAGAAGGGAACCTCAGCTCTGTCTGCTCTGCTGGAGATGGAGGCAAGTCAGAAGTAAGTGCCTGTTAAGAGGGCTGTGTCTCCACCCTGCAGTCTCTGAGGGCTTTCAGTGCCCCACTCCTGCGAACAGGGTGACATATGATTTCCATCTGCAGGGAGCTTGTAATTAAGAATTTATTTACATGAAAAGAAATCCAGGAGGTGGGTATAGTCATGCATGCCTGGGAGTCTGAGGCAGGAGGATCAAATGTTTGAGTCATCGTGGGCAACTTAGTGACATAGTGAGACCCTGTCTGAAAAAGAAAAAAAGGCTGGGGTGTAGCTCAATGGGAAGGCCCTGAGCTCAGTCCCTAGTACTAGCATAAAAAAAAAAAAAGAAAGAAAGAAAAAAACAAGCCAGCCTAATACATGGCCAAGTGTTAATAACATGAAATAGGTCAACAAAACTACAGTTACAAACTTGTAGTCTGAGGCATAATTTGAAGTATGAATACACAAAGCACTTACACTTTTTTTTCTCTTGAGCATTTTAGTTTTGGTACCAGGGATTGAACTTGAGACCTTGCACTTGCAAGGCAGGTGGCTGGCTGGGCGTTTTAAATATTTATTTGTTTGTTTGTTTGCTTGCTATGTTGCCCTGGGTAGATTTGAACTTCTAGGTCAATGATGGTGAACCTTTCAGAGCTTTCAGTCGATAAAAAGAGCCCCTGCAGCACACATACCATAGATTTGCCACCAATATCCTAGGCTCAAGAAATCCACCCGCCTCAGCCTCCCAAACAACTGGGGCTACACACATGTGCCATTGCATCTACCTCATGAGTGTTTTTAAAATATTTGAGCCAATTTTTATTTTTGGTACGGGGGATCAAACTCAGGACCTTGTGTTTGCGAGGCTGGCTAAATCCCTGGCCCCTAAGCCAAATTTTTTGAATTTTAAAATTTCATATAAAAATCTAGATTTTATATGAATTTTTATTTTTTGTTTTTTAATAAGGACTTTTATATAAAAATATATGATATACAGAATGTAACATGATGTGTGATTCTATTATATGTCATATAGAACAGATAACATAATGTGTAATTCTATCATAGATAGTATGTAAAAGTTCAGCTTTGTGTTAAGTAGCCGAGTCTCAGTCCACATTTGTTCCAGCCACAGTGGACTGCGCTCTGGAAGGAGCACATGGTGACCAGGCTGCTCAGGCGGCGGGGCAGGAGGATCACAAGTTCAAGGCCAGCCTGTGCTACTTAATGAGACCTTGTCTCAAAATAGATAGATAGATAGATAATTAGTAAGGGCTGGGGTTACAACTCTGGTAGTGTTTGCCTAGCTTGCACAAGGTACTGGAAAACAAATGTGTGGTTCTTTCTCCTTGAGGTCTTGGATTCCTGTGCATCCTCAGTCATGCCCCCTGGCATGTTTCTCTAGGCATTTGGGTGTGTGGCCCTTGTATAACAGTGCCACAGTTGACAGGATACTAGTAGAACCACATCTTGCTTGGGAATACAGAGAAAGAATCACAAGAGGTGAGTTTTAAGTTGGCCTTGTAGAAAGCGAAGCATAGAAACAGGAGAAAAAAGTGAAGCGTTTCCACAGGAGAAGGTGGGACTTGGGAAAAGAGAAAACATTGGTATGTGCAGGTGGGACCTGCCTTGGGCAGGTTTCCCTGCCTCTCTCTTCCTTAGAGCTGGGTCAGGTTCCCCTCCGTGCTTGCCTCCATCTTGGGCCTATGCCCAAGAGCACTTACCAGTATTGTGAGGGCTTCAGGCATTGGTTTACTCCTCTTCCCTCCAGTCTGACTGTGCTCTCTGAGAGTAGAAGCTACAAGTCTACCTGGCATGTAGTAGGTTTGCAGTACATATTTATGGAATGACAGCAGACAGGAATGCTAACTTAGTTACTTTTCTCTTTGCTGAGACAAAATACCCAATGCCAAAGTTAAAGGAGGAAAGATTTATTTCAGCTCACAGTTTGTAGAAGTTTTAGTCCGTAGTCAACTGTCTTCAAGGCAGGGTGACATGGCAGACGGGCACTGCAGAGGAGAAATGGTTCATGGCAAAGCGGGGCAGACAGAACGCAGCAGAAGCGGCAGCAGCAACCAAACCTGCCTTTAAATTTCATCCAGGACACTTGCCCTTAGTGTAGGTAGTAGCATTTATACCCAAGCTGGGGCACCCTTAATCCCAACATCATATCCTCAATCCCAGCATCATGCACCCTAGGTAGAGCCAGCTCCAAAAAGCCCCACCTAGCCAGGATTTTAGCTCAGGGGTTCCACCGCCTGCCTCGAAAGCGCAAGGCCCCAAGTTGGATCCCTGGTACCAAAACAACAACAACAACAACAAAAAGCCCCACCTATAACTGCATGAGGCTTTGGGGAGACATCTAGTTGCAAGCTATAGCAGATACTGAGGGTCTACCTGTATAGCTTTGGGCAAGTGTGTTAGGGCAGACTAAGAACTTTGTCTGTCTAATACGAGAGCCTGTGTTGCACCCCACAGGAGCCTGCACATATTAGATTTCTAGGAAGCAACTATGAACAAGTGAAAGAGCATAAGGTATGGTGGAAGGTGCAGTTGGAAAGACAGTGTAGAAAGCCAGATGCCAGTCCATCCTTACAGAGTCTCACAGCAGGAGGAATCCTTTGCAAGTTTTTAAAAATTTTATTTTAATGGAAAAATTCAGACAGATGAGAAAAAGTAGACAAATCTCTCTTTACCCATCACTCAGCTTCAGTGATCATCAACGCAGTCTTGTTTCTTTATATTCCACTCATGATTTCTTTCCTTTTATTCTTTTCTCAAATCCCAGGCATTATATCCTTCATATATATATTTTAGCATGTACCCCTGAAAGATGTCTTTTTTTTGAGACAGGGTCTCGCTGTGTAGTGCAGGCTAACGTTGAACTCACTGTGTAACCCAGGCTGGCCTTAAATTCTCAGCGATCCTTCTGCCTCAGCCTCATGAGTCCTGGGATTACAGGTGTGCATCACCATGCCAGGCTTTTTGTTGTTGTTGTTGTTGTTGTTTTTGAAACAGTGTTTCACTGTGCAGTGCAAGCTGGCGGCAAACTATGACAATCCTCCTGCCTCTGTCTCCTGAGTGCTGGGATTATATGTGTGTGCCACCATACCTGGCTGTCTTCTTCTTTCTTCTTTGTATAATGTCATAGTAGATCTGAAAAATTATAGCAGTTTCTTAATATCATGAAATGTCCACTCGGTGTTGCTGGCAGAAGTGATTATTCCCCCAGAGAAGAGCCCCATGTATAGGAAGACTTGGTGGGCGGGGACTGGGAGGCACAGGATGGATGGAAGATGAAGATTAATAGAAAAGAAGGGATACAGCGAATAACATAAAGGGAAGAACACAGTAGAGTATCCAAGGGAGAGCAGATGAGAAAAGGACAGCGGGGGTTGGTTGGTCTCATTACTGAAGGCACTGTGTCTTCTGCCCAAAATGTCTTTATCAAATCCAGGAGAGACCCTAGAACCCTGCCTGCCTAGTTTTCCCTGGAACAAATGATAGACTTTTTCCACTGAAAAAGAGAACAAGGAACATATGTTGCTGGGAGGGGTGTGAAGCTGGGGGTGAAGGGATCTTATTTTAATTTGCAGTGAGTCATCATGTGATGTGCACTAAAGGAGCTCAGGCTGGAGGAAGGCGGAGATCTTGGGGTAGAGGAGTCCCCCAGTATAAAGGGTGAGATTCTCAGCTAGCCCCATGAAGGAGGTAGGACAGAGAAACTCGAGACTTACCGCTTGTCATAGATGCCTGCTCCTGGGAGAAGTGCTTTATTTTCTCAAGGCCAGAGGATAGAGCAGAGGCAGTCAGACTTTTATAAAATAATGTTTGTTCACACAGCATCTTTTATTTGTATGCTTTTCTTGTTCTGCTGCTGCTCCAAGCAAATTTGTCTGTATTTATATGTGTATTTTGTGGTACTGGGGATTGAACCCAGGGCCTTTGCACTACGGCTGCATTCCTGGCCCTTCTTTTACTTTTTATTTTAAAACAAAGTCTCTAAGTTGCTGAATTGCCTAAGCCAGACTTGAACTTGTCGTCCTCCTTCCTCAGCCCTCCATAGTGCTAGAATCACAGGTTCGTAGCGTCTCACCTGGCTCAGTTCTGTTTATTATGAGAAACATGATGTTACAGCAACATGAAACAGAGAGCTTTAAAAATCCATATATAGTTCCACCACCTTACCGTGTTTGTTTCATCCATTCCACCCCAGTCTATATTTTCAGGTACAGATATTTTTTAGTCAGGCTTTTTTGCAAGATCAAGGTCTCTGGAGTCTCACCTCTGTGCTGATTAACAGCCACAGGGTAGCAGGTGTTGGCCAGCCATCTCCTCTGCTTCTGTTAGGTGAGGATAACCAATTGGTGATGAGAGCATGGGGGTGAAGGACAGACAGAGACGCTTCAAACAGGTGGGGTTTTCTCCTCTCCAAGGTGACTCGTGTGTGTGACCCTCAAGGCTCCATGCTTGCTCCGAACAAGTCAGCAGTGTAACATAGTGTGTTGTCCACCTGCAGACTTCATGTGAAGGGTTTCCATACTTTTATCTTCTTGCTTCTGTGTAGGCTGTTTTCTTCCTGCTTATCCTTTAAGGAACCCCGCACATGGCACTGCCTCTGTGGGAGTTTGGCTGGCCACACCTAGGGCAGAATGCAGAGCGCCCTGTGTATTTTCTTATTTGTACATGTACACATTGTAGCTGGTTGTGTTGTGTTAGCTCCCTTCCCGAGACACTAGACAAGGAGACTCTAAGGGCAAGGGCAGGGTCTTCCCCAAGTCTGAATCTCTGGATCCTTGTACACCAGTACGTGTCAGCTCATACAAGGCAGTTCAGTAAATGTGGATCGTTATGCTTATCACACAGCACATCTTCAGGGATAACTGAAGCTTCTTGTCCCTGCTGTCACCATCATGGCCCAATGCTACAGCCCTCAGAAAGTGCCAGGAGATGTCACAGTGTACATTTGTGGATGTGCTTGAGAGGAAAACATGCCGTAGTGTAGTGGAGGGAGAGAAACAGAGCAGAGGGAAAGAGAGAGAGAAGCAGACACAGTCTATTGTGTCGGTGAGCAAGGGAAGAGATCAAGCATGTTTGCTGCTTGTCATCTATGAATTGTACCTCAGAGTTACAAAGTAATTGGTGTGGGGGAGTTTCTCTTTTTAAAATATTCTAGATAATAAATACAAAAGGAATGGTAGAATATCACTGTATGCAGTCTCTAAGGAATTGATTGATGGATCTCCAGAGATTGTCAGTGGTAGCTAACATTACCACAGACAGCAGGAAGTCAGTATGGGCCTCTGGGTAGATGTGCACAGCACCATTTGGGAAAAATTATTGCTTGACATTGAACCTAAATTTGTCCAAGCCTCTGTGTATAACTTCTAGTTCTCAGGAAGTATAGGTGCAGAGGAACAGGCTAGACAGTAAAGGATTGGGGCCGTGGATTTAGCTCAGCAGTTCCACCACCTGCCTCACAAGTGCAAGGACCCGAGTTTGATCCCCGGTACCAAAAAACCAAAAAAACAAAACAAAACAAAAAACCAATAAAAGGTTGCATCTAGACTGTGTACATTTGTAAGACAAATGAGCTTCTGTTTTCAGTAAATAAATTGCAAGGATAGGAGAAATGAAAAGAGTTTATGCCCTAAAAGAGAATTAAGAGCTGTAACTTACTGCAACAAAAGGACCGTAATAAAATCTTGTTTCAGACAAACAAAATGTTAAGATTTTTTTCCTTTGAGACATTTGGGGAAATATAAAAGAATTTTTTTAAAATGGTGGTTATTTAAATTTTTTTTTTCTTTTAGCGTTATTGCAGTATTTATACATAAAATAACATGTTAGGGCCCGGGATTTAGCTCAGTGGTTCCGCCACCTGCCTTGCAAGTGCAGGGTCCCCAGGGTCCCGAGTTTGATCCCTGGTACAAAACCCCCCAAAAAACAGTAGATAAAATAATGTGAGTTTTGCTTTCAAAATAACTCATGTAAGTAGGTAAGGGCTATAGATGAAACAAGATTTCTGCAAGTATATAATTTTAGTGGCTGGGTAAGTTGGGATTGCTTAATTTTATTCTCTTTATGTATGTTTGAGTTTTTCCATAATTAAAAAAATTTAGGTGGTACACATCTATAATCCCAGTACTCAGGAGGCTGAGGTATGAGGATCATGAGTTTGAGGCAGTCTGGACTGTAGTGAGTCCCTGTTTCAAAAATAAGAAAATTTAAACAAGTGACAGGTTCCTATAGGAACAGATTTTTAATCCCTGGTATGAGATTACTTCATGATGGTTAACAAAAATTTCAGAATTTGGTCTGGGAGTATAGCTCAGTGGTAGAGTGCTTGCCTAGTACGCATGAGGTCCTGAGGTTAATCTCCAAGACCACAAAAAATAAAATAAATAAAAATCAGAATTTAAGATGAGAAGGATTGCAGGTTGGGTTCCCAAGGAAGCAGGCTTAAGTTTGTGGGCTGTTTACTGAGCAGAGTCTTTGGATTCATCCCTGTGAGAGGGAGTGGGAGGATAAAGGAGCTGGCACAGGGAGAAGCTGAGCTGTAGGACTGGCCCAGCGCCCCACACAAGTGCTAGAGGTAGCACTGCCTTCACAGATGAGCCGCATTATGCCGGTGTGCTCAGCCTTTGTATGCATGCATGGGCATACACACTCTTGCTGATCATGCACTGGCTGTGGGATCCTAGGGAACGGATGTGGGCTCAGACCAGGCTGCGGTGCGGCTAGAGAGTCATTGGATGCGCTGTCTGCTGAGCAGCTTGGATAGTGCTCTCAAGGCAACAAGCCACTGCTGAGGCATCTAAGTGGTGCCTCACAGTGTCTGCTACAGCAGAACAGTTGATCCTCCATATTTGTGGGTGCTGCATTTATTAAATCAATCTTGCAGAGAATGAAAACATTACAGGGAGGAAAATTGCATCTGTGCAGAACATATACAGACTTTTCTTGTCATTATTCTCTAGGCAGTATGAATTAATAAGTATTTGCATAGCATTTATATTATATTGGTATTATGAGGGCCCTAGAGATGGCTTAAAGTATATGGGAAAATATATGTAAGTTTTATAGAATTATTATAATGTTGTATGTAAGAAATTTGAATATCTAAAAATTTTGGTATTGATTGGGGGTTCTAGAACCAATCTCCCTCAGATACTGAGAGATAACTGTATTTTACAGTAGTAATGAAGCACTTAGGATTATAACATGAGCCTTCTGAAACATCAGGTAAGAGCACATTGACATATTAAAATAACATACAGTGGACCCTCAAGTTACCACCAGCCTGATCAGCCGGCAAGTTGGATTAATTAGGTTAATGGAAGATTTACATGCCTCTGGTTATCTGTAGTGCATACCCAGGTAAACATCCAGATTTCAGCTGTATTGACTTACAGTCAACTTGAGTTACAATCAGGAACCGATTGACTTTGTAAGTCAAGGGTCCACTGTAATCTAAGCTGAAACAGTTTACAGTTAATTTTAATGTAGAAAACTTTTGAAAATAAAGGTGAAGGCATGCATTTATGTACATGAGAACTGAGGTAGAATGAGATGGTAGAAGAAAACTATTTGTCTTGTTTTATGGGGTATTGTCTGCTGGATCTGGGTGTTTTAGGGTTAGATGTAAATTGGAATAATATAAATCCCTTCAAAATATATAAAATTAGCACTTCCCTCTATTTAGGTTTTGTTGCATCACATAAATAGGGAAAGTGCTAATTTTCAGAATGTGCTTTTGCTTTATTTTTATTTATTTATTTAATTTATTTATTTATTTTGAGACAAGGTCACACTATGCAATTCAGGTTGGCCTTGAACTGGCTATGTAGCCCAGGCTGGCCTCAAACTCATGGCAGTCCTCGCCTTAGCCTTTCGAGTGCTGGGATTACAGGCATGGCCACCATCCCTAGCCATGCTTTTGCTTTAGATTTAATAAAACATGAGAAAAAAAAATCTTCCCAGAGGACTGAAAAAAATGGTATTCATGGTAGAGTCACTCAAACCTTGTCATTTGCCCTTTGAAAGTAATGTGTAGATACCAGGTGCTGCCAGAATTGCTTTTTAAATTGGGCTGTTCTGTGTTTTACTGTGGTGGCTGGTGATTGTTCAGGATTATGAATAAAATGAAAGGTGTCATATAGGACCTGAGGCAGAACGAGGCAGAACTGTATGCATTTCAAAGATGAGAGCAACAGAATGTCTTCATTTTAGCTCATTTGGATCCTTTACCAGGGAGCTCTGAGCAAGCAGCAGTCATGCATTTTTCCTTCTTTTAGGTGCCTAGGAGAACAGCAGGCAGCTGTGCATGGTGGAAAGAGCTCTGCCCAGACAGCCGAGAGCAGCAGCATTGCCATGACTCCCACCTACGTGGACAGCCCACGAAAGGTAAAGGGGGCCACCCATCGGGAAGCTGCCATGTACTCTGAGAAACCCCACATGGAAGGTAAACTGGGAAGCTGTTCAAAGTTAGGATTGAATGTGCTGAGTGAATTCTTCTTACCCTTTTTAGGTTCTATGACTACCTTTTTTTTTTTTTTCTATGACTGTCTTTATTGAGGGGTACCTTTTGTTCACCATAGTAAGGAAGCTAACTTAAGTGCAGATATAAAACAGTAAAGACCCAAGATCTGAGGTGAGTTTTGTTACTGGCCTTCTAGTTGTCCTTTACCATCATTGTTAGCTTTCCCAAACAGGAGTAGGAAGCTACTGGAGCATTTTCTACAAGAGCTCATTCACTCTTTGATAGTGGAAATCCTATCGGTTTTTCTTAGACACTTGAGAAATACAGTCAAATAAGATCATGGGGTGGAGGTTGGGGGACATCAAAACCCCCTCAGACTTTAGGCCTTTATAAGGAATAGCAAGTACTACAATAGAATGAAAGAAAACTCCATAGGTCAGGCTTTTTGATCTTAAAAGATCAGTAGACTAGACTCTGTTAACTTGGTTTCTGAGAAATTCAGAATCTGAGATCATTCTGTTGTGATCTCATAATGTGAACTGACTGAATATTCTCTCTCTCTCTCTTTTTTTTTTTAATTTTAAATTGAATTTATTGGTACATTCTAGGTAGACAGTACAGTTACATTCATTACTGGGATCTTGTACCTTTACATGCCAGGTCTTGGTTCTCATTTTTTCCCCTTGTCCCCACCTTCCTCTTTCACCTCTCCCCTTCACCCCTTCCTCCCCTCCCCTCCTTCAAACACTTTAATTCCATTGTTACATTTTCTCATGTTTTTTTTCCTTTTCCCTTATTTCCCTTCGAATGTTCTCTTTTTTGTTGTTTGAGACAGGGTCTCCCTGTCTTTGAACTCACTATGTAGCCTTGAACCCATGACGGTCCTTCTGCTTCATTCACTACCATGCCTGGCAAGACTGTATATTCTTTTATTTGGTCTCTACTATCCTAGTAGTGAAAGAGATTCAGTAGATGTATTTTATTTTTCAAAATTATGGCAAAATTATATATCTGTTCCTATATTTGTTTATTTTACTTTGTGTAATAAGTTTTCTATATCATTAATATTTTTCAAAAGCATGATTTGTGTGTGTGTGTGCGTGTGTAAAATGCTGAGGATCAAACCCAGGGCACTCACTGTGCATGCTTAGTGTGACTTCTACCAATGAGTTAATGCTTTCCTAGCATATGCAAGGTCCTGGGTTCAGTCCCCAGCATCCATTTCTCTTGTCTCTCGCTCTCTCTCTCTCTCTCTCTCTGTCTCACACACACACACACAAATGCTATATAATATTTCATCATATGAATTTACTTTTTTAGAACATTTTTGTTAAAAATATAGAAGATTTCTGATTTTTTCTTGAGATGGAGTCTTGCTACGCTCATGCTGGTCTTGATCTCAAGATCTTCCTACCAACCTCCCAAGAAGCTGGGATTACAAGTGTGCAGCAGTGCATCTGGCTTTCTGCTCTTTAAGACAGATTTTAGCATTGTACAAATTTTTATAATAGTGCATCACAACCATAAATAATGTCGTAATGAACTTCCTATTTTTAGTGGCAGGGATTCAACTCAGGGGCCTTTGCACTGAGTTCCATCCCTAGCCCACACTCCCCTTTTTACATTTTTTTCTAATTTAAAAATTTTAATATTATTTTGAGGTAAAGTCTTGGTAATTTTCCTAGTCTAAGCTCGAATTTACAATCTTCCTGCCTTAGCCTCCCAGAGTGCTGGGATTATAAGTGTTTACCACCACAGCGAGCTAATGAACTTGTTATAATAATTAGTTCAACCTCTGATTATTTCCTTTGCCTAAATAACTAGAATGATATCACTAGGATGGAGGGATTAAAATCTGAGAAAAGTTATCAACCAAGACTATAGGCAGTTTGTAGACTCTGTAGATCAGAGGTCAGCAAATCTAAATACATATTTCAAGTTCTTCGTATGTATTTCTATAACCATTTGAAATTGCAAAAATTGTTCTTCTCTTACAGGCTATAAAAAACCAGGTGGCTAGACAGATCTGGCCTCCAACCTATAATTTGCTGACCTCTGCTCATTCTGTTGGCAAGGAAAGAGTTTTTTCACCTATTGTTATTCATGTGTACATAAATCTCAGCATCGTCAGCACCTGGTATATGTTTTGGCAGAGAAGGAACAAGCAATACCTAAGTTCCCTACCTGCTGCCCAATCAATTTTTGTTTTGTTTTTTCTTTTTTTAAACCTCTGCTTATTATCCTCTTTTAGAATTAGACACAGTGCCAAAGACAAGACTGAAAAATAATGAAATTGTACAGTCCCAGACATTAAGGGTAATATGCACCAAAGACTAGATATGTTGTTTAGAACACCTTCCTAATCTTCCAGTTGGACACTGAAGTCCGTATGCAGGAGCTGTCAGTGTTGCTAGATGTTGACTCCCAAATTAAGTAGGGGGAACCAGGATGTTATGAGATGCCCTGCTGGCACACTCAGAAGTCCTAATTTTCAAACTAAAGAAAAGGTTTAGGAAAGCAAGGAACTTGATCAAGTGTCCCTACTGAATTGCAGTGATAAGCATAAAAAGTAAGATCTTGAAGAGACAGAGTCTATGGAAGGGTCTACTGTGCCATTTCTATTTCACATATGTGACCATATGTGAATAGCCCACATGAATAGAGTGGGAAGGGAAAGATGTCTTGAGAAAGCTCCTCCAATGAGTGCTTTTTACCTCTCAGCTCTTGATGATTTTGTCACACAACCAGTGGAGGAGAAGGTGTGATTGCTTCTGTACCCTCTGTGTGCTCAGAAGATTAATCAAGAACTTTTCTTGCATTGAATCCTCTTCTATCTGGCCGGCATGTTCAGTAATAGGCAGAAGAAACCTATGCTTAGTGTGTCTCTCCCAGAGGCCTGCTGGTCATCCAGGCAGGTGGGAGACCAGGATATTGCCTCTGCAGCCTTTCTTTCTGCATAGGTCTGAATGCATTTCAGAGCTATGTGTAGGACAGAAGCATCCAGGCCGTGCTCTCAGGAAACACAGGTAGCTTGGACACCTCTTCTGACCCAGGTGCTTTCTCCCACGCAGTTAGGATATTCTGCTTGGAAAGGTATAAGTTCCTTCTCATGCTTTGCCTTTGGATATTGTCCTTCTGGGTGGATCTCTTCTCGCTTTCTGTCTTTTTTTCTTTTTCCTTCCATTTCCCTCATGTGTCCTTGTTTCTCCTTCCCTTGTTTTTTATTTATTTATTTTTTCATCCGCCTCTGCTTCCCTTAATGGTTAACCATGGGTACCCACTCCATTTCTTTGCTACCTTGCACCTGCTGCTGCTGCTGTTGCTGTTGATGCTGACGCTGATGCTTCCTCCTCCTCCTCCTCCTCTGACTTCAGGACGGGGCCTTCTTTATGGAGTTTGTCCGCAGCCCACGCACAGCATCATCTGCTTTCTATACTCAGGTTAGTCAAACTCCAGGGCTTTGCAGCTCATGCATGCCTGTCCATTGGCAGAAGCCACAAACTAGCCTTCTGCTCAGTTCTGAGCAGATGGAATTGGGCTGAATCTGAGTTTGAGGGGCAGCTTAAATTGAATTTGGTTTCCACAGTGTACATTCCCTTCCTTGGTGTTCTCGGTGGTGCAGGAGACTGGAGATTCATGTAAGAGGATAAATGATTACACTAGTATTAAGCCAAGTGTTTCTCATTGCTGCCTGTCTGGTTCACATGGTTGCTATGGATTCTCACTACACTGCAACATCTTCTAAGTTTTATAAGCAGCGTGATATATGTATTGTTAAGGACTGAACACTTAATTTTCTCCTCCCAGTACAACAGATGAATTTTATAGCTGTGTGGCAGGAAGTGGTGAAAAATAAGAGCTAACATTTATAAATAGGTATGTGCTACATCATAGGCTAGTGGTGTATGGCCCTAGGCTGTTTGCCTGCCCTCTGGGCTTCACTTATCTCATTTGACAAATAAAGGGTTTGTATCAGATCTTCAAGGGCCTTCCAAGTCTGAAAAATTCCACTTATTATATACCAAGCACATACATTATCTCATTTAATCTTACAATACAACCTATGAGTTAAGTAAAACTTTTATCCCAGTTTTACAAATGGAAAAATTGAGGGACAAAGAAGATGATATATACAGTATAGGGTAGAGCTGGGATTTAAATTAAGGATCCACAGGCTTGACTCAAGACCCACTCTGCAGTTAGAGTTAGTAATTATTGTTTTGGTAAAGAGAAATAGGGGTTCCTGACCTTTGGTGAGAGCATTAAGTAGTATGTGAAACTGACTTAGTTATAGAAAACTAGTTACAAAGATCTGAAAGAGTGAATAGGGTTTATGTGGAGCAGGGCAGGCTAATGGGGATGGGACTTAGGAGGTTCAAGGGCAAAAATTAAGGAGTTCTTATTTAGCAGAAGTCAGAAAACCAACATCTATTTATTTATGTATTTTTTGGTACCGGGGATTGAACTTGGGTCCTTGCACTTGCACGGCAGGCAGCGGCACCACTGAGCTAAACCCCTGGCCCCTAACATTTATTGATTACTCACAGTACTAGTGCTTTACAAACATAATATTTGCAACAAATCTATAATGCAGATGCATTATCACCTCATTTTCCAGATGAGGAAATTGAGACTTAAATAAACTAGCTGGCCAGAGAGGACTCAACTATTAGTAAGTGGCTGAGCCCTTAGGATAAGATTTTAGTTAGCACTGGAATTTTGCCTTTCTTACGAAACCAGAGATTGCCATGCTTGTTGGTTTAGGTTTCCAGATAGCTGTGCCTGCCTCTTCTCAGTGAATCACATGGCCCCAGGCAAATCCCTGTGGGGACCTCTCAGTTTTAATCTACACATCTCTCCTCTCTTGAGTGTGGGAGGCACACTGTATTTTTGGTTTGAAATAGACTTAGGTTAATCCTTTTAGCTTTTTACTTTCTAACAGGAGACTTATGAACAGTTTGGGTTTAGATTAGAATTTAACATAAGACAAATCATTGAGCTGGAAGAGATTTGTTTAATGAATCCAGTAATAATTCGCAAACTTTATATGGTGAAATTCGCCTATAGAATAAAAATGGAATAATTTGGGAATAACAAACGGAGATCAGACTTCAGAGTAGGCACATAAACAAAGTGTTGTTAAAAAGATATATACATTTAGAGGTGGCGTACAGCTCAGTGGTAGAGTGCTTGCCTAGCACGCTCAAGGCCCTGGATTCACTCACTACCTAGTACACTGGAAAAAAAAAAATCTGAACTCCTATGAAAGGTAATATAAGGGACACTCAACATATACACAAAATTAAGTTGTATCTTTTTTTAATGTTTATTTTTTGTAGTAAAGTATATAAAACATCAAATGTGTTTGTTTCCTAACATGCAGCATAGGCTTGGGGAGAGAGACTAGGGGAGTAAAAAGGTTGCTTTCAAAGCTTGGCTTCAGTGCCATACCAGGGAACTGCCTTAGGCATACTAATGTAAGTCCTGAACTCTAGTCTTTTCATTTGTAAAAGGAAATAAAAATAATTTCCTTATAGGATTGTTTTGAGTTTTCAAAATATCCATTTTCAACAAAGTTTTAAGAGAATAAACATAAAGGGCCTGTTTCTGGCCACAGTGCGATTAAGTTACATGTCAATGATAGAAACATGACTAGAAATCTTTCATGTATTTTAGAAACTGACACACTTCTGATTATATGTGTGGCAGGAATGATACATGTAAGTGACTAGCATGGTGTCTGGTATGTGATGGTCACGTAGTTAATACTAGTGATGTTTGAGATTAGTATCATTAGCCTCTCATATTTATCCATGGTTCAGTCAACTGGGGATTGAAATATTCATTCAGAAGAAAGAGAATACATTTGTACTGAACATGTACAGTCTTTTCTTATTATTCCCTAAACAATACAGTGTAACAGCTATTTACCTAGCACTTTCATTATATTAGGTATTATAAGTAATCTAGAGATGACTTTAAGTATACAGGAGGATATGCCTAGTTATATGTAAATATTATGCCAGTTTATGTGAGGGACTTGAGTGTTCATGGATTTTTGTATCTGGGCATAGTACTGTCTGGGAATCAGTCCCTAGCTGATACCGAGGGGTGATTATTGTTATGATGTTAGATTATGTTAATTTAATGCATCTCTGCATTAGTGACTACTCACTCCTCAGTCCTGCTCTGAGAAGACAGTTGCCATGTCTGTTTTATACACTTGATTCTTCAGCCCTTAGCCTGGTCCCTGGCACATAGAAGGTGTTCAGAAAATACTACCTCTGAAGTAGTGCTGAGACAGACACATGCATGTGCAGACACACATACACACAAAATAAAAATAAAAACAAATAAAACAGTAGAGCATTTCTTATTTTAAAGAGCGGAACTTTTTTCCCCCTGTCCAGAATTTGTACTAAACTAACTCAAACACGGAAGCGTTTTGGTTTAAGTGTGTGGGATAGAGGCTGGAGATGACTCATAGACCCAGACATTTGAACCCACTGATGGCTCCAGAGATGCGGGATTCTACAGAATGCATTTTGGGGCCACATCTGTTAGGGCACACAGTGTGTCCAACCAAAGTGGATTTTTTTTTCCCTTTTCTCTGTTTTCCTACTTCAAAGACATGAAAGAATAAAAGATTTATATCCCTAAGGGCCGAGTTCCTCCTGTGAGCCTCAGGGAGTCGCTTATCAGTCAACTTTGCTTTAACCTAAATCCTTTACTGTCTCCTAGGGTCTTACCTAATGTCTGTGTTGCAAGGCTTCCGCAAGTATCTGAATGGTTAGTCCAGTCCTAAATGTTCTCAAGACATATTCAACCTTGCTGTGTTCTTTAAATGTTAGAGTTGTTTGGAAATAGTTAAAAATCAGGAAATTTCATATAAAAATCCTAGTTTCTATTTTGTGTTGCATATAAGCTAGACACTGGGTCTGGGTTCCTGTCTAACAGTAATCGTATGACCATAGAGCAGCCTACTTCATTTTCCTTAAAAAAAAAAAAAAAAAGCAGAAGCCAGGGCCAGGGATTTAGCTCAGTGGTTCTGCTGCCTGCCTCGCAAGTGTAAGGACCCGAGTTTGATCCCTGATTCCAAAAAAAAAAAAAAAAAGAAGAAGCTAGATGTGCCAGTGTATATTACCATACCCGCGTGTACATTTTTTTTTTTTCATTTTTGGTGTTAGTGTTGCTAGGGAGTGAACTGAGGGCCTTCTGCATACTAGGCAAGTGCCTTGTCACTGAGTTATAACCCCAGCCCAGTACATACTTTTTGTTTGTAACCTTTGCTCTGGAACGTGCTGTTCCATAGGACTTTTGTCAGCGAAGGCAATGTTCTGCATTGTCCAGCAGAGTGGCCCTTAGTCACTTGTAGCTGTGGCATGACTTACAGTGTGACTAATATGGCGCAGGAACTGTATTTTAAATTTTATTTTAGTTAATTTATATTTAAACAGCCATATACAGCTAGTTGCTGCTGTATTGCCTGGCACAACTCCAGATATTAAAAATGTTGTCTTAGGTCAGAACATATCTAGACTGTAAGCCTACATTTTTTTCTACACTTGTTTTGCCTTCACTGGATTTTCTCACCGATTTATCTTGTTGTATGTGTTCTTATTGGTAACCTCATGTTTTGTGGATAACCGTTCACAAAGGAATTAGCATGGACATGTGGAAGAAGGAAAACAATACCTGCAGAAAGTTTATTTCAATTGGAATAGCAAATACCAAGCACCTGCTGGTTATAGAACCATGCCCAGTGCCATGAAATATGCAGGAATGAATGAAATTGTTATTACTTGAACCCAGGGCTTTTGAATTGAGCTACATCCCCAGCTGAGCCATTTTTAGTCTTTAATTTTGAGATGGGGTCTCACTAAGTCTCTGAGTTGCCCAAGTTTATTCTGGGCAATTTTAGCTTTTCTGCCGCAGCCTCCCAGAATGCTGGGATTACAGCTGTGTGCCACAACTCCTGGCCTTAATGAGTATTTCTTAACATGTGTTGTCATATCCCCCAGACGGTAAACTCTATGAGGGCAGGGGAGGGTTTTTATTTGGGATATTCCTTTCTTCCCTGATAGCATAAACCTTGGAGAATGCCCAGGCTGTGGGCCTGGGAGTTATTCTCAAGCCCGTCTGCCTCCAGTGTATATGGGATTCTATCATGGGTCCCTTTAGGATGCTTCTGTCTGCCCTTGTTTTTGTACTGTTTCCTCCCCTCTCCCCCCCTGTATTGGGAATTGAACTCTGGACCTTCACACTGAGCTACATCTCCAACACTATTTATTTTATTTTTATTTTTTGAGAGACATGGTCCCTCTAACTTGCTGAATTACCCTATAAGTTGGGCTTGAATGTGCTGGGATTACAGGCATATACAACCATACCCAGCTTCTTTCTCTTTTCTTTTGTGCTGGGGTTTGGACCCAGGGCCTTGTGAATGTTAAGCATGCACTCTACCACTTAGCTACATGCCCAGCTCCATTTCCTTGTTTTTTGTATGAGCTTGATAGTCTTGAGAAGTACCCTATATACAGTGATAGTCCCTGAGCAGGGAGATGGTATCCCACTTGAGCAGAGCAGCTATGCCCCGGTGTCCTATAGGACGTCTCCAAAATTGGTTTTCCTGATATTTTTCTCATGCTTAGATTGGAGTTACAGCCTTTTTTTTTTTTTTTTTTA